GTGTCCCCAGGGCTCCTGTGCGAGCAGCCAGTGTCAGAAGCTGGGACCCACCGGAAGTCCTGGGGTCCTCAGGCCGTGCCTCAGAGGGGACGTGGGGCCTGGGCCCCTCGCAGCTTCCCGCTGCGCAGTGTGATATGTTCCTCCCACGGGCTCACACTGCTGCAGCCAGGAGGCCCTTGCCAGAAGCTGCACCATGCTGTTTGCACACTGAGCCTCCAAAACTGAGCTGTGGGGTGGGGAAGAAACAGGGCGCGGTGGCGCACCCCTGTGGTCCCAGCACTGGGGAGGCTGAGGCAGGAGGATCACTATGAGTCTGAGCTACATAGCGAGACCCTGTACCAAATACATAAATGAATACACAATTTGTTTAATTTTTTTTTAAAAAACCGTGAGCTAAAGGAATCTCTTCTCCTGACTGACTTAGCTGTCCTTGGGTGTTTCACTCTAGTGACTCAGCAAACTAACGTGCTAACTAAGCCCCAAGCTCTTTGATTTTATTTTATTATTTTCTATTTATTTATTTTGGCGGAACTGGGGATTGAATTCAGGCCCCTGCGCTTGCCAGGAAATCTCTTATTCCACTGAGCAATCTCCCTGGCCCCAAAATACTAAGAAAGGATTTTTTTTTTTTTTTTTTTGGCGGAACCAGGGATTGAACTCAGGCCCTTGCGCTTGCCAGAGAAGCACTTATTTCACTGAGCCATCTCCCCAGCCCCTTTGATCCTAGTATTGATCCTGGTATTGTGCTAACTTCCCAGTCGGTGTATTCCACAGCACTTAGAAGCCAACGTATGGTAGACGAGTGATAAGCATGCACTGCTTGGTAGCGGTACGGACAGCCCAGGGTGGCCTGCAGCAGCAACCTCTCCCTGGGGCCAACCAAGGGGCTCTCCCGTGGCATGTGATCCCATCCTGACATGGACACACGCAGAAGAACGGTACAGAGGGCTGGCAGATGGCTCAGCCGTGCAGCGCCAGCCTGGCTGGTGCAAGGTCCTGAGTTCACTCCCAATACCAAGATATGAAAAGCAGTGTGGAGTTTAAAGAAATTGTCAGGCTGGCCAGATAGCTCAGCGGACTAAAGTGCCTGCTTAGGCAGGCACAGGGACCGGGGTTCAATTGCCAAGATGCGCTGAGACGGGACTGAGACGGCGTGGTGATGTGCGCCTGTAATCCCAGCACTAGGGAGGCTAAAAACAGGAGAATCACTATGAGTCCGATCTGTGTAGTGAAACCCTGTAGACCCTGTACTAAATACATCAAGAAAGAAGAAGAAAGAAAGAAAGAAAGAAAGAAAGAAAGAAAGAAAGAAAGAAAGAAAGAGAAATTGTCATATCCCAAAGCCTAGTATCAGTGTTCAGGATCAGGTGTTCCTGCACACTACTTGGCAGCAGAAAGCATATGCCGTACACCCCACCGCTTGTGCCCTGCCTGCTGGGGTAGTCACCACCACGCACCTGACCTGGGGTGCTCCTAGGAGACCCACTGCCCCTGGCTGCCACCCCTCCGTCCATACCTGGATCGAAAAGGGAGAAAAGGTGTCCATGCACACACTGCTGTAAGGCGCAACAGAGGGAAAGTCACATTCCCTGCAAGCAGAGCCCTGCCTTCATCCCCCATCCCTCTGGCTTTCACCCCCAACCTGGGCTCCCCACTTTCCTCGCCGACTGCCTCCTGCCTCAGGCTCGGAGTTCTCTATTTCCGTTTCATATCTTTTCCATACCTCTGGATGGGGATGTGTCCAGGAACCCAGGCCAAAACCAGCAAATTTATCACCACAGTCATGACAGCGAGCTGCATGCTGAGTGAGTTCTCCGATCCCCCTCACCTCCGAGTTTGCCAAAACCTGCCGAGCTGCAAGATCCAGCAGACTAGAAACTGTTACCTTCGTTGAAGAACGGCTCTGCTGGAAAAGGCAGTCAGGTCTCAGGCACAAGGCTATTTTTGGAAGCTTGTTTGGGGATATGGCAAAAAAAAAAAAAAAAATGCCATATGGTGGGAGACGTTAGTGAGTTCGCCAAAACTGAGCATTCTGACTTCATCGAAAAACCCCCTTCACCAGTCTGTAGCATGGTAAATACCTACATCTGCCTCCCATGGATGCCTCGCTGTTGGAGAGTTTTAGATCTGAGGAGTTTATAGAACTCAGTGTCCGGGAAAACCCTCTTTATTGCCATTAGCAAGCCAAGGGCTATGGAGAGTCCTTAGACTATGCATTTGAAAAAGCCCCCATAGGATTTGGGAAGAGGTTTCCAGTAAAGGGAAGGGAGCCATTAACCATGGACAAGGCCTGAATCCGGAGGCCATGGTCAGGGAGTCCAAGGTCAGGGAGCTTGGCTGTGGGGCCATGGGGTCCGGGCACGTTACTTCTGCCCTGTGTGTGCTCTAAGGGAGAGGTCACCTTCCAGGCACTTGAAGAAGACAGCTCCCAGGCAGGTGACAGCCCCTGGCTGCCTACTGAAGAAACAGGCATGGCACCAACATGCCTCCGCTCTCCGTCCTCCATGACCTTCTCCAACAATACGCCCACTAGGCTGAGGGCCTGGGGACGCCACTCCTCCCTCCCACAGTCCCCACTGAAGAGGCTTACGCATACAGATGCAGCCAAGGGCTCGGCTGAAGCAATGTCCAGTCCTAATTCTAAGTGGGATGGGGCAGGGGCTTCAGAGGTGTCGAGGGGCCATCAGGGCGCTGGAAGCCCAGCTGTGCCTTTTGGAGATTCCATTCAGCCACACTTGATGCAGACTAGAGTCTCAGCTTCACCTGAACCTTGTGTTCCCAGCTACTCCACACCATTGGTGGGGACAATAAAGAGGAGGCCATGTGACCCAGGGGTCAGGTTGTGTGCATCCTGTTGGCTCCTGGCTCATGGTACCCATCACTGAGCTGGCCCCCACCTCCCCAACACCCCTGACGCTCCAACACTCCCACTCAGCCCCACTGAGAATTAGGGGGCAGTAACTGCTTAGGCACAGCTCCAGGCTTCATCTCTATGCAAATCCTTGGGGGAAGGACAGGCCAGATGGAAAGCAAAGCAGTTGTCCCAGGCCTTACCCCAGCCAATCACATGTGTGGAAGACGAGGCCTCCCGGGCCCAGAGAGCACCGTTTAAGTGGGGACATCGTAGCATCCTGCACATGTGAAGGGTGCACCACCATGGAGGAAGGGTCCTCTTCCACGCTGATCCCAGGCAAGCCCAGCAGCCAGAGGTCACATGAGCAGGTCCTCCTAGAGGACTTCTTCCACAGAGTAGCCGGGTGCACATACGTTGGGAGGAAAGGCCAGTTTCCTTCTGGAGAAGGGAGTCCCGCCTTGCAGGGGGAGAAACCCGAGTGCCCTGCACCATCCCTCCCAGTCCTGACGTTCTGGAGCTATCAGGAACCATGGAGTTTCCCGTGGCCGCTTCGTGGATGGCTCCTCTTTGGGACGCTCAGCTCAGCCTGGCCTTGGAGTAGCAAATGTACTTCCAGGCTGTGAGGGGATCTGGCAGCGACACCTGTAACCCACCATGGCCAGGGTTGGCTTAGCTAAGCTGGCTGGCAAGGCAGGAACCCCTTCCTCCCTCTCGGCTCCATGCGCGTCCCTCGTGAAGCTGCATGCACGGTGGAAGAGGACAACGACCCGGTAGACGAGGGCCGTCCCTCAGTCAGGGGTACACGAGTAGCTGCACTGCCCTGCTAGACCCTCCCACGAGCTCTGGAGAATGCACTTCCAGGAGGAAAGATCCGCACTAGGCCAAGGACCGGTGACATTCCCAGGGGCTGGTCACACCCCCCATGTGGGGCAGGTGTGCACACAGCACTGACATTTTCACAAGTGTCTCAGTCAACACCCAGGGCTTGGCCAGCGAGACAGAGACAGCTCAGAAGTGTAAAGCACGGGCACTTTGAGAGAATTTAATCTACTTGGGGCTGGGGCTCCTCAGCGAGCTGCTTCTTCCTTCCTCGGCTTGACCTCTGCCCTCGGACTAGGGCAAAAATAACCTATTCCCAGCCGGATGTGGAGGATCGCTGCAAATTCAAGGCTAACCTGGGCTACATAGTGAGGGCCACACCAGCCATTCAGATACCCAAAGACAGCCATTATTCTGTGCTTTTTCTTCCACCAAGTCTTTTCTTCCCCATCTATGTATCTTAGGTCACCTCAAATATTTCTCATGTGACATGACTTCAGACACCCCCTTACCCCACTCACCTCTGCTTCCCAAATATGTTGTGTTTTGCTAATGTTTCTCACAAAGGAAGCTCTGCAGTTAATGTCAACCACAGTCTCATCCCTGCACAGGCCAGTGGGACTATCATGTCCCTGGATCTACACACCACAGTTTTGTTCATTGACCAGGAATTACATCAGTTTCATACCAAATGATCAGCTGTTGAGATTTATTATCAATGGCAACTACTGTCTTCTTTGTTTGACATGGTTTCAGATAGCTTCAGGAAAGAAGTGGGGGCCGGCCAGATAGCTCCGCAGACTAAGCGCTGGCTTAAACAAAGCACAGGGACCGGGGTTGGATCCCCAGTACCACATGCCAGGCCAGCCCCACCCCCAGGGCGAAATGAAATAGTGACTGAGACTGGGCATGGTGGCGCACACCTTTAATCCCAGCACTTGGGAGGCTGAAGACAGGAGGATCACTGAGTCTGATCTGTATAGTGAGACTCTGTAGGCCCTGAACTAAATACATTAAAAAAGTGGATTTCAGTGACACTATATGTTAGGCAAAGGCCATATCTCCCCTCCCCATTCACTGATAACAATGGAAAAGACTACTTAGGAGAGTGGGGTCCTGGTTAAGATGACAAGTGACCACCCAAGATCCCCGAGCTCTTGAGCCCCAAGGTGAACCATGTGTTCTCAGCACACCGGGCCATGGGAGGGTCTCATTGGAAGCTCCATGAGTGTGACTCCTGTGATCCCCTTAGCTGGCCACACGCTTCCAAGGCAAGGTCTGCCCCCACCACTGGAAACTCACTGGTGCTCTCCTCTGTCTTGGGCAGGTCGCCTGAAGGATGCCATCACACAGCGGCACATGCAGCAGGTAGCCCTAGGTGAGTACCAAGCCCAGCCCACAGGATGAGGGGCAAGGGGATGTGTGGGACATCATGACCTGGCCACAAGGTCGTCTGGGGAGGCCCTGGAAGGTGGAGGAGGGTTTTATTCACTTTCAGCGACAATAAGTGCTCAGAGAACAATGAGAGCCCAAGTCACACTGCTGGCCCTGGGGCTAAAGGGTAAGATGAGCATGCTCTCTTTTATCGGGGCATGGCACACCTTCGCAGGTGACACTGTGCTGCTTGCCTTCTCTGGAGAGTTGTGCCAGGCACCTCTGGGGCCTCCAAGCCTGGCCCCACACTCTGCTAGGCAGGTCACAGGGGGCAGAGCCATCCCAAGGCCTCCAACACGCAGGCAGTCGCTTCCCTCAGCTGCAAGACTGGCTCCTCCTCCCTGGCGGGAGAAGGGCTGCTCACCTCCAAAGGCAGCCCCACCTCCGGCCTGGCCAGCATGTGCCTGGGTGTCCTGTCCTCTTTGCCCCTCGGCTGACTCATCACATTGAGGGTCACTCTGGTCCCTGGAGAGGGAACGTGCTGTGTGTTCTCAGGCACCAGGTCTGTCTGAACAAGTCTCCCGTCATCTCCAGGGAGCCTCTGCAGCATGGGTTTTGGCATCCATTGCAACAGGCAGGCGGGCCGCAGCCCCCTCCGCCTGCAGTAGTCAGCAGGATTGGGGGGGGAGCGCTGGGCTGGGAGGCTCTCTGAGAGCACTTGAAATACCTATTTAATTTAAAAGCATGTTGGATCCCAATTAGAGCCCAGGTGTTAACACCTCCCAGCCACCATTTGGAGCTTAAATGCCATGTTGCCTCCCAGTGCCTCAGGAAGTTGTCTGGTAGGATCTGGAGCCACCAGGCCCCTGCGTCCCAGGTGACCATGCTGCAGATGGGGGAGAACGAACCCCCATGCAGGGAGTTATCTCCCGTCCTTCCCTCATCCTTCTTTCTAGTGACAGGGGAGCTGAAGCCTGGGACAAAGCACAAGCAGACCAATGTAGCCTGGCCCTCTGGGACAGCCTGGCCTCTGCCACTGGGCATCCGAGGCAAGAACAGAGAGATGCCCTACTTCTGGGGATCGCGTCACACACTCCTCTCCCCTCCTTGTTCCGTTCCCTTTGCTCGCTTCCTTTCCTCTTCACTTCCCCTGCCCTCCACTCTAGGGAGCCCCCTTGGAACTCTCCTTCCTAAGTCTCCATCTAGGAATGGTGGGTGGGCGTGGGGATCAAAGGGGAGGACGTGCAGGTCCCAGCTGGAGAGGTTGCCGCCTACTTTCATGAGCACGCATCTCTGAGTACAACAGATGTGTGTCCGGGAAATACGTACACAGGCAGCCCCAGGCCTGGAGCAGGGAGGAGGAGAGGGCGGAGATCTGTGCTGGGAGCCATTCGCAGGGTGAGCCGCGGCCTGGAGCCTGCGCATCCCACAGCAGGAGAGCTGACTCTGACCACCCAGGGGATCTAGGCAGCCATGATTAAACGTGGTTGTTATGAAAAGCCATATTATGTAGGCTTGTAAGTTTTATTCTACAAAGAAGGGTAAGAAATACTCAACATTCATCGCCTCCTCAATAATTTGCTGCGCTTCGCCATTACCCGCATTCTCGGAGTCAGCAACGCCCTCCGCATCTGCAGAGTGGGGACGGATGCAGAGTGGTGTGCGCTGTGTGTCCCCTCCGAGTCCCAGCACCATCACACTCCGGACTTGAAATCAGCCATGGAGAAGAATGGACACCATGGATGCCGGCAAATGTTATAAATCCAGACTGTTGTTCCGGAGAGTGGCTGTTCAGTACCTGCCACCGCTCCACAGGCACACAGACAGTGCCCCTCTCAAAGCTAGCACGGGGTATTGTGAGTCTACGTGGGGGGCACAAGGACTGCTGCTTCCTTTCCTGGCTAGAAATCTCGACCCGGCTCCCCACTCACACCTGCCCACAGTACATGAGGACGCAGAGGCGGCTACTGAGCCTGGATCCTGCTGAGAATTAGTGGACAGGGGAATGCATGCAGCTAGGGAGGAGGCAGGAGGAGCTGGCGGGGACCCTGTGGCTCCCTGGGCGTCGCAGGCAGTGCTGGGCCACCCCTTACTAGACATGTCTGGGACGCATCTGAGCGCATCTTCAATAAGCAGAAGGTACTGACAGCCTGGAGGGCTGAGGTCCACACGAGCTCAGGAGACAGCAGGACAGTCATTTTCACCATCAGGTGGGATCGACAATCGAGGCTGCTGGCTGCATTCGTCATATCCGTAGCTCGATGCAGCGCTGCACACAGGATCCCTCGACAAGCGATCGGCAAAAGCTCCTCAGCTGCGTGGGGATCAGAGGGGAGGATGTGCGGGTCCCCTCCTCTTCACTGCCTTACCGAGAGGCAGGAAGGACTGCGAGCTCCTACGTGCACTGTCTTTTCAGCAGTCACAGCACCCACATGAAGCAGATGCCACCGTTCTTTCTCCTCATGTCGAAGCTCAGGCCTGGAGGGTGCCGGAGCCCACCCGGGCCCTGCTCAGTGAAGGACGCAAAGCCCAAGCCGGGCTCCTCAGCCCGCCTGCAGCTGCCACAGTGCTCCGCCAGGGCGCGCTGCCCGGGGCGTGGGGTCCACACAGGGCCTCGGCTCAGGGTCTGCAGTCTAACCAGGATGCAAGGCCAGGGACAGACCCCGACAACGCCGTGCTCAAATTCCCTCTCCCCTGCAGCCACAAAGCCGTCCGCCCTCATGCCCGAGCCACCCCCGCACCCCGACTCCCCGTGCTTCTCTCCCGGAAGCCAGGTGCAGTCAGGTTCATCTCTGGAGCCCCAGCAGCCAGCGTGAGCCATAAATAGGCCATGTGATGGCAAACGAATGCTTCCCAGGTGGCTACCAGACTCACGGAGCTCACGCGAGCACAATGAGACACTTGAACATAGAATAAAATAAGTCCGTTTAAAAGCAGGAGAAGGAGTAAGTGCTTTTGGACCCCAGAGCTGAGCAAATTACACACACAGGCCATAAATCCGATTTGCCCTTGTCCAGCCGCTGAGCACAAAGGAGATGCACCCACATTTACACAGTTTTCATTTTCTGACAGCAGGAAGCATACTAACTAATTTATCTGCAGAAACAGAATCTCTTCCTGGAACTAAACACAGGCCAGAATTTATCCTGCGGATCCTCATGTGAAGGACACTGAGTGACACGGTGAGCGATGTCTTCACCTGCAGCTTTACAAAGATGCCAAAATGTTCAGCCAGCTGATTCTCATATCAACCCTCCATGAAAGCTGGGGGACTGACATCAGGCGTAACTCACCGGGGCATTTATGTGCGCAGCCGAGATAAGACTCAGGTGTTCCACTCTCCAGTGGGTGCGTGGAGCGAGACAGATAAAACTGGGAAAATCCAGCCCTGGACGTGGCTATGACTGCCTGCCGGCCCACCTGTCCACCTATCTATCCGTCTGTCTGTTGGTTCATCCCTCTGTCTGTCTGTCTGTCTATCTCCCTCTCCTCTCTCTTTCTCTCTCTGCAGGATTTGGTCAGGGACTGGATCTTGTCACCTTTACACCTAAGGTTCTGACAAGCCCTTGTGATTAAACATTAAAAGGCATCCCACTGCCAAGCAGGTGTTAAATCTGTCAGGTGAGAGGTCTGGGGATGGACCACAAGGAGTGGCCCCTGGGGCTGGCCACCAAGCCAGCCTGCACTGGCCCCTGTGCCCGCCTCCTCCCCTGGGCGCACACATTTCTGGTCTGAGCCTGGAGGACCCTCACTCCTTCTGGCCCAGGAATCCCACCAGGGCCACACCACTTACAGCACCCCTGCCTCAGGGATCCATGGCCCGACCACCACTCTGCTCCTGTCAGGGAGTAGGGGCTGTCACTGCCCCCGAGGAGCCTGAGTACGCACCAGCCCAGGTGGCATGTCAGAAAGCAGCCCTCCGTTGCCTGTGCTGCTCCCTGGACCCAAAGCTGCTCGTGGCAAGGCCCGTGCCTGTGGGCAGGCAGGACTGCACCCTGCCGCAGCAGGACCCAGGCTTCCTGCCTGAGGAGCAGGGAAAGAATGCAGCGCGCAGGGGCCTGCAGCTACGAGGACGCCTGAGCCTGCCCCCAGCCCCACCTCTGGGACACCAGACCTCACCCCCGCCCTCGGCCCTCCGTGCTCGCTAACTGCCCTGGAGCAAAGACCTCTGGAACAAAAGCAGCCCCCAAACGGGCTACCGTTACCTTTGTGCCTCATGGGGTTCGCCCCAGCTGTGCATTCCTGACCCTGCAATTGGGCAGTGACCCAGCACTCCCCAGCAGGGGCCTTATTGAGGGTTGAGAGAGTCCAGAGAACTGGCTCAGAAACCTGCCGGGAGCTGCGCCGCACGTTCCACGCAGAACTCCTGCAGTGCCCCCTGGTGGCTCCCCGGGGTTCCTCAGCCTTTTCCCCCACTGGATATACAATGCCATACGATCACGGCCACAAGGTGGAGAGCAACAGGCCAGGCCGTCATCTGCTGAGGCCACAGACCTTGGCTACCTCTACCAGATGGGCGCTGCAGGACCGAGGGGTCTTCAGGCCCTGGGGACCACGAGGGGAGGCTAGGCGCGACACCCAGAGTTCCGCCCACCTGGCTCAAGCAGAACAAGTGGAAATCACGTTTCACCAGCCACGGGGGCACCTGGAGCCCTGTCAGGCTGACACCGAAAATTAACTGTCATGGCTTGCGACCTGAAGAGCGCAGCTTGTGCTGTGATGCTACCTTCTGTTGTCCTTTGACGGTGGCCCTGTACCCTTGCTGAGCATCCCTTTCCTCACTCGTAAGAGGCAGAAAAATGCCCGTCCTTCGGAGCAGCGAGACCAGTGTGGGACTTGTGACGGGACCATGGGCAGAGTAGGTGCTGGGTGACCACCGTGAGCTCCGGCTCTGGACCCGGTAAACACAATGTCCAGGCAGCGGGCGCAGCTAAGCCGACCACAGCTCCTGGCAAAGCTGGTGCGGCCTGCACAGGCCCACACCCCTCTAGCCAGCTGTGCACA